CTGCTGAGGCATCCTTCCGGTGGTCCAAGTCTCTGGAATGTCTAGCGGTTGGCTGCGCCGCAATGATATTTATCACATATTAAAAGGAGAAAATGCTCAGATATCAAGAACAATAAAAATATGGCAATTTTTTAAGCAAAAAAACTTTGATGGGTGGGGGTGGGTTTCGAATTTATTTTCAACGTTCTCGGAATTCCACACTCTTCTATTTTTAATATGTGATAGCTAGAATCCCAAGGTACATTCCGTGCAAATTTGAAGGCAATCGGACCAAGGGAACGTTGCCTGGGCAGAGCAAATCAACCCCGGTCGCGAAAATTTGCTCATTCTTCAACGTTATTATAATATTGTATTATGACCGCCATCTTAGATCCATCTGGGTCCCCGATCCACCGTCACTTACCAAACCAATCCGAAATATACCCAAAATCGACCTTAATTTCTTTTGACTTTGCGCATGCGCCATGACTACCAAATTCCGGCGAGGAACTATTCACGTTGGTACCTAGGTGCCCTGAAAAATTCAAGGCCATACCTGCATTCGTTCAGGTTGTTTGTTCTTCACACGGTTCCTATCGTTCGGCTTTTTCCACCAATTACGGCTTCAGTAAGTAAGTGCGAAAAAAGTGGAATTTCGCCACGACACCTGCACCGATTGTCTGAAAACCATGAAATTTGGACACAATACGCCCATTACCACCCCGGACTTAATTACTTCCATTTTGATCGGATTAAAAAAAAGAGTTTTAGCAAAAAAAAAAAGATTTTTAGTCAACTGATGGTCTCCATTTGAAATTGAATATGAAGAACAGTGAAAAATCCACTTCAACAGACGTGAAAATAAACAAAATAGGCCGTAATATGTTCAATGCGTCTCTTATTTCTGAAATTAATGCATTTCAGGATAGCTCGGGATCAAGATTGATTTTTTGGTGTTTGAAAATTTTCAAAATTTCGTATTTCGCCTTTGACCTTTTATGTGCCGACAAAGTTGTTTGCAGGACAATTTATGCCTTTAATTTGACATAGCCAGAGACCAGGCACATAGCTGTGCTACTTTTGATTTTTGATTGTCGACAAATCTTCGTAGATATTAAGCGCCAAATTTCGAAAATTTAAAATTTTACAATTTTTTTTTTTATTTATGAATATTTTTATATTGCATATTACCCAGGGTTGAAGAGTTATCCAATTTGACTAAAAATGTCAACTTTTTGTTTGCAGGACAATTTATGCCTTTAATTTGACATAGCCAGAGACCAGGCACATAGCTGTGCTACTTTTGATTTTTGATTGTCAAAGAATCTTCGTAGATATTAAGCGCCAAATTTCGAAAATTTAAAATTTTACAATTTTTTTTTTTATTTATGAATGTTTTTATATGGCATATTACCCAGGGTTGAAGAGTTATCCAATTTGACTAAAAATGTCAACTTTTTTTGTGTCCGTAATTTTCCTTGGCCACCATTGGCTAATTCAGTTTTTCAGTCCTAGATTAATTATTTATTATTCGATTTGTACAAAAGAAAGTTCATGTGCTGCATGGTTCAAAATGACATTTTTTTTGTTACCGGAAGTGACGTCAAATCAGCAAAAACTACAATTTTGACAGATTTTGACAGTTAGGTACAACTTTTCGAAAGGAAATATTATTTTTTCAAAATTTGATATTACCAAAAGCATGCGCCATGCAAAGGGGCACAAATCATCGGACTCAGTTTTTTTAATTTTGATTTTGTTTTCGGGTCATTTAGATTAAAAGGCGAAAAAAAGGGTATTTACAACCCATCCACCGTCTTCATATTTCAAAATATTTCATCGTAACTTTCATAACCTCGTAGCAATAACCCATACAAAGAGAATGTATGTCAAAGTTAGTTTGTAATATCAGCAGTTGCCGAGAAATAGGCAATTTTTGCATGAGTCACATTTCGTGTTATTTTGCCTACAGTAGGCTACAAGAATCAATTATTCAATTTTCCTTCACCATTTGATGCCTAATGCCACTTTTGACTAGATTTTACCATTTTAACACCTTTAGTGTCGCCGGAAGTGACGTCATTTGGGCAAAAAATGAATTTTAGCCTTCAAAACCGATATTTTTCTCAAATGAGTCCTATATGTTATTTGTTGAAAAGTATGATATTTAATTTCAATCAATAAACAGAATGAACCCATACGACCATACAGATACCACAAAATGGGTTCTAACTTGTAAGGTTGCAGAGAAATAGACGATTTTCTACTAGTCACTTTTCAAGGTTTTTGGTCTATAACAGTGTCAATTATTATTCGATTTTCATAAAATCTTCACCATGTGATACCTTATGCCATTTCTGATTTCATAAAACTAATTTAACATTTAACATTACGGAAGTAATGCAATTTTAGCAAAAACTGTATTTTTAGCCTTCAAAACAAATATTTATTTAGTATTCATTTGACATTATGATATTTCATTCCAATGGAAATATAGATTGGATCAATACGATCATAAATATGTCAAAAATAGCTTCTAGCATCTTCTCTTGCAAAGAAATAACCAATTTCGTCAGGATCACTTTTTAAGACTTTTCGCATTTTTATTACAGTTTATGGGTTCTAAATTAATTATTTATTGCCTGATTTGTAATTGTATAAAACAAAAGCTCATATACTCCTTGGTGCAAATTCTCAACTTGTTTCTACCTATAATGTTTTCTGTCGGTACCGGAAGTGACGTAATTTTGCCTAAAATTTAAATTTTGACAGGTCGGGAGGTCTTTTTCCTAAGGAAAAATCTTAATTTCTACAAATCTTATCAATGAAGATGAATGCTCCTACTACAGACGCAAAATATGTCTTAGTTTTGGGGTTTTTTTTATATCGGTTTTGTATTTGTGCCATTTTGATTTAAGGGTGAAAAAAAAGGAGTAAAAATCAGGTATTTACAACCCATTCATCGTCTTCATATTTTAAATTATTCTACGCAACTTTCATAATTTTGTAGCATTAATCCATACGAGGACAATGTATGTCATAATTAAATTGTAATATGCGCAGTTGCCGAGAAATAGGCAATTTTGCATGCAACACTTTTCACGTTATTTTAAATGTAAAAGAGTCAATTATCGTTCGATTTTCAATTTTTGTTACCATGTGATGCCTCATGCCACCTTTAACTAGGCCAATCCAATTTAACATTTTCACTGTCACTGAAAATGACGTCATTTGGCCAAAAACTGTATTTTTGGCCCCCAAAACAGATATTTTATTCAAATGAGTCTGATTTGTAATGTTTTTAAAATTATGATATTTGATTCCAATCAACAAAAAAAATGAACCCATACGACCATACAGATATCACAAAATGGTTTCTAACTTGTTTGGTTGCAGAGAAATAGACGATATTCTACAAGTCATTTTTCAAGGTTTTGGTCTATAAAAGTGTCTTATGCCATTTATAATTTCATAGAATTAATTTAACAATTTTATTACCACCGGAAGTATAAATGTAATTTTGGCAAAAACTGTATTATTAGCCTTCAAAACAATTGCTTTGAAGTGAGTTATATTTATCATTTGTTTAACATTATGATATTTGATTCCAATGGACATATATAGATTGGATCAATACGATCATATAGATGTCTAAAAATTCCTTCTAGCATCTTCCTTTGTCGAGAAATTTCCCATTAAAAAGTCAGCTAACTTAGCGGTAAGTTAGTAACAAATTTTGTCAGGATCACTTTTTTGACATTTGTAACACATGGTAACAAATGTATAAATGAAATTGATATTGCTGGGTAACTGGCACCGGAAGTGACATAAGTTCAAGGGTAACGTGGCACCAGTGAAACCTGTCATTACTGCATCGCAGTTCTAGTTATTATTATTATTACATGTATATGGGCTTTTAGCAGTGGGGGGAAGCTAGAGGCCCCGGAGGAAACCCACGATGGTGGGCTTGTGGCCAGTGAAGTTGTCATGTACAACCTTGGGATCGAAATAACCTCATATGACTCAATGACAGACCTTGTGATCCAAAGTGCATGCATTATACCACTCGACCATCCACCTCGTCATCTTGTCCAAATATGTTCACAATGGCTTTGTCCCGTCTGTCACACATGAAAACTCACCCCTGACAGTACATTTTCAACTTATTACTATCGTATCATCCTTGTCCCAGACATTTCTTAATTTATAGGAAACATGATATCATTATCACAAATTGGTTTAATTTTGATCTGAGATAGAATTTTTGTTTTGAATAAATCCTTTGAAAAATGGATGTAAATCAATGTCTCGTCTGTCACGCTCATTCTTTATGTAATGACATCTAGAGATTATTTTACTGAGAAAAGTTTCATATTTTATATGATACTATATGGTCTTTGCTAGGAAATACCATGTTTAAATTCCCTTCTATCCTTAGCATTTTGTGGAGAATGGGCTTGGCATTTTACTTGGTCAGCTTTCTGTCCCGTCTGTCACGCTGGAATTAGCCACCTGTAAAGTCCCCCAAAAGTAAAGGTAACCATCCAAACACCTGGTATATTGATGTCATTCACTCTGAAAGAAATCTCAGACGAAAAGCAGAAAGAAAATGTGTAAAAGCAGGTCTTGAAGTTGATAGACAACTATTCCAAACACAGTCCAAGAAGGTCAAAAAATTGATCTCGGATGCTAAGACAACTTTTTATAAAACAAAGAACATTTCAGAGACTTCTTTCATGACAAGTCAGTGATATCAGACGTACTCTTGACAATACTAGCAGTGGATTAACTTACAAGCACACAATGTGTGTCAAGCTGTTCCTTGGAACCCACTTGTGAGTAGGTAAAATGTCACCATTGGTCTGCCACGCCCAATCCACCATAAATGCATATTTCAGTAGCCTACGTACCTTCAGTAAAGGCACAAAATGGGTTTGATTTGAACACCCCCGATGTAACGGAATAGGCAAATAATGGCAAACGAATCATTATACCACCGGCTAACTGCTTTATTTACTCACCGTCTATACAGTAGATTTGGAATTCCAACACTGCAACTTCCCATGAGTTACACTCCATAAATATCCCAGCCGTAAGGGTGGGTTCCGGCCAAAAGCTACATTTCCACGGGTTGGAATCAAAACAATATTTTGAAAACCTTCGAAGTTTACGGGATCTGGCTGTCTCAACACATACTTCATCTTCTTGGTCGAATATAGAAAGGCAGCATGCCGGTTGACTTTCAAACGTAGGACATTCTAAGATTTCCGAACAGTTGTGTGTCTTGCTGTTGAAATACCGATATCTATGGTAAGCACCTCTTGTGCTATTACTGCAAATAATAGCGTGTGGCGTAAAATGAACAACAATACATCTCTGGCAAAGTCTTACAACATTTGTATATCCTTTAAATAATCCTTGCGTCATGGGTACTGCTGTCGTTGGTGAACTATCTACAAAAGATAAGAATGGTTTATTATGATACTTTCTTCATTGCATAATCAGGCCTGGCGCAGTATTGTTTGTCGCAAGTACACCTTGCTCCAGGTTATTGCACGCAAGTAATTATGCGGTTAGATACAACGACGCTTGATTTTAACATAGAAGTTAGACTTCTAGTCGGGATAGAGTTTTTTCACTCTTTCCGTATGTCCTTTACCCATCAAATAATTCACTGCTATCAGTTATGACCAACTGAAACAAGCGGTTGCCATGCAAGATACGCCCATACTTTGCAGAAAATGTATGGAGAACAGGTAAAATCAACAGAGCTCACAGGGCTGGCTGGCGTAAGCAATTCCTGATTGTGGAGGGGGGGGTCTACCATTTTTACATGGAAGTGACGAAGTGAGACTTCTAGACTTTTGTTGAGTTTCCCCAACAAATTCATGCATATTTCAAATTTTGCATAAAAAGCAGGGGCTATAGCTCTAGAATGTAAGGTCTAATGCTTACCAAAGTCGAACACATCCAAGAACTTTTGATCCTTAACACATAGTTTAACTTTGATCTTATCAATTGGACAAAAATTGTCGCCTTGGGAGGTCTACAAATTTCATTCATATTTCCACTTCGTGTAAAAGGCAGGGGACCAATGCGCTCCAAATTTTAACTCATCCACGAAATAGTGATACTTGTTTTAATTTTCATCTAAATCGGATGCTTTTATACTATTTGTGTAAAGGGAAGCGGCCATTGGACCGAAAGTTTCGGTCGGATTTTCACGAAATTTGGACTCAACCATAATTATTATGTAACGGTGATATATTTCAACGGTTTTGAAAATAATATAAAAATTGGCGAACCCCAGAGGGTCAATTTAAAACGTGATATTTCGTACAATCAGGGGTCATAATCCAGAAAGTTACGTTCCATTACGCGCCAATATCGAGATTTGCACTCAACCGTAATTAGAGTGTAACGAACGATGGTATATTTGAATGTTTTTTTACAAGGGTCGACAAGCTAAAAATATATATATATATATATAGGAAGTGACGACCCTATATGGGCAAATATTTAAAGAAACAGAGATCTTTTGGTTATAAACATACATTGTCAGTTTGATCAGAGTGACCACCCCCCCCCCCACCAAAAAAAAAAACAAAAAGAAAACCCATAAAATTTTTATTAAAACCTACAAAGGTCCAACAAATTTATTGACAATTTGAAACTGTGTACGATCATTCAACAAAGTTTCAGTTATCTTGGTCGTTTTGCATACGGTTCTTTCCAAAATTTACTGAAATTTTCTGGACTTAAACTTCACTCTGTGTACGATCATTCGACAAAGTTTCGGTTATCTTGGTCGCTTCTATTAAAGCCGTTTCTTTCCAAAATATGCTCCAAATGACTTCCGCTGCGTTGGAGGAAAACTTGCATACATCGCGCAAAATTGTCAATTACTCGAACACATTCCTCTTTGGGGATTTGCCTGATTTTTGCTGTGATTGCTGCCTTCAAATCACCAATCGTTTGTAGGGTTTAAAGGACAATATTGGTCAGTCATTATCACATATGCGATAGAAATCGTTAAACACGTCCCAAATATTTTTAACACAGAGATCATTGCTGCGATAGATGCGTAATCAAGGTTTCAACAAAAGGAAGTTACGAACACAAAAGGAAAACGCGAGTTATCCTTCTATATAACTGACTGAAGTGACGAGTGATAACAGATACACGAGCAAATTTCTGCTCACTAGGAATTCCTTCGAAGACCAAAATTTATTATATGAGACTGTGAGATATCTGACAATTCAAAAGATAGGTTGCCAGGCAACGAAACAAACACCCACAACAGCTAAATCGTCCGGGCAGTCAACAAGAGTTGTTGCATATTTTTACTTTTTTCGGTAATGAAACATTTATAATACACTAAAATCTGATTAAGAGCAACAACTCATGAAGTAATTATCAGAAAACCATTAGAAGTTGTTTGTTTTTATAAAGTTCTGCCCCATGCTAACGTTTTGTATACAAAACTTTTAATATCATGGATTTAGCTGTTCAAGACATAAAAATTCATTGAAAATCAATATACTTGTTCGTCTCAAGATCTTAAACTTTGTGTATCAAACTGAAGTCAATCGGATGATAACTTTAGCCTTTAGAGTGTCACAAAGTGATCAAGGGCCATAACTTTGGCAGTAATTATCGGAAATCATTGAAAATCAATAGGATTCTTTGTCTCGTGACCTTAATCACTGTGTATAAATTTAAAGTCAATCGGATATTAACTTTAGCCTCTAGAGCGTCCACAAGATTTTTTGAAGTGATCAAGGGCCATAACTCTGGCAGTAATTATCGGAAATCGTTGAAAATCAATAGGATTCGACTCATGACCTAAAACACAGAGTATGAATTTAAAGTCAATCGGATATTAAATTATGACCTCTGTAGGTTCCACAAGCTAAAAACCCGATTTTACGTACAATCAAGGGCCATAATTCAGTCAATTACAGTCCGATATGCGCGAATATCGAAAGGAACAGAGATCTTTGGGTTATAAACTTACATTTCAAGTTTCAACAAAATCAGATACATGCCAATATCGAAAGCAGCCGAGATCTTTTGGGGATAAACCTATATTTCAAGTTTCGTCAAAATCAGATAAGAATTGTGACCTGTAGTGGCTGTAGAGAGTCCACAAACAATTGTGGACGGACGGACAGGGGCGACCGCATAATACGTCCACATGAAAATGTGGGCGTATAAAAATTGTGACCTCTATAGGGTCCACAAGCTAAAAATGTGATTTTTTGTAGGGGCGACGACAATATGAAAATGTGGGCGTATAAAAATCACGGCTTGATGCCCGCCTCAGCTCGAATTTACATTATTCGTTCGAAGGAAAGCAAACATGTCTTACATCACCCAAACGGAACCCCTATATAACTAGAAACTAGAACTAATAATTCCACACATAAACATAAAAATTACGGCTTGATGCCTGCCTCAGCCCGAATTTACACTATTCGTTCGAAGGAAAGCAAACATATCTTACATCACCCAAACGGAACCCCTAATATAACTAGAAACTAGAACTAATAATTCCACACATAAACATAAAAATCACAGCTTGATGCCTGCCTCAGCCCGAATTTACACTATTCGTTCGAAGGAAAGCAAACATATCTTACATCACCCAAACGGAACCCCTAATATAACTAGAAACTAGAACTAATAATTCCACACATAAACATAAAAATTACGGCTTGATGCCCGCCTCAGCTCGAATTTACACTATTCGTTCGAAGGAAAGCAAACATATCTTACATCACCCAAACGGAACCCCTAATATAACTAGAAACTAGAACTAATAATTCCACACATAAACATAAAAATCACGGCTTGATGCCTGCCTCAGCCTGAATTTACACTATTCGTTCGAAGGAAAGCAAACATATCTTACATCACCCAAATGGAACCCTTAATATAACTAGAAACTCTTAATATAACTAATAATTCCACAAATAAACATAAAAATCACAGCTTGATGCCTGCCTCAGCCCGAATTTACACTATTCGTTCGAAGGAAAGCAAACATAAATTACATCACCCAAACGGAACCCTTAATATACTGAGCGCCATGGAAAACGCATCACTTAGTTTTTCATATAACAAAATGATCCTGTAAACATTATCTTATTTATTTTGCTTCTTATTGTGAACAATATTCAAATGGGAACACATCAATAACAACACATTTGTACACTTATGGATGTTTAATCTGTAATCAACGGTACAAAGTCAGAGGGATCAAAACCAAAAGTACGACACTGATGTCAATAGCGTGTGTGTCCTCCACGGGCTCTTACGCACGCTGTGCAGCGACGTTGCATGGAATTTACCAATGTTTGAAAGAAGGCCTGGGGCAAATTGTTCCATTCTTGGACAAGAGTAGCTTCTAAAGCAACAATGGTGTGCATCTGTGGTCTCCGATACAGACGGCGTCCAATCTCATCCACACACGTTGACGGCCATCAGCGTGATTAAGATGAAAGCGACTCTCATCACTGAAGAGCACACTTTGCCAGTCTACTCTTCTCCATGTCTGGTGTCCTTGAGCCCATATCAAAAGCTGCTAACGGTGATGATCCCTGAGGATTGCTCCAACATAAGGTCGTCGTGCACAGAGTCCTACTTCTCTTAGACGACGTCTTACGGTGTTGGCACTTACTGGTCCTTGTCTTCCGACGACTGCTGAACCTGTTAGAGTCGCTGGACGGAATCTGTCACGCAGATGAGTGACCTGGATGTAGCGGTCTTGAGCCTGGGTTGTAACACGTTGTGGACCAGGACGTTGACGGTCACGTGTTGATCCAGTAACTCGAACACATTCCACCAACCTTACAATAGTGAACTGATGACAATTGAAGTGTCTGGCAATAGCACGTGTAGACATGCCAACCCTGGATATTTCCATGGCTTCATTCTGTTGATTTTCAGTAAGTCTCGGCATCTCTAGCTCGATTCCTTCACACGTCCAACAACAAATTACGACAGATTGCCGTTTAACAGTTTATGTACTGCACATTAAGTTGAAAACATGCTTTTAAAGGGCTCACACACAATGCTGCACATGAACAGGCCTCGAAATTAACGGCGGTGCCCTTTTCAATTGGCCGCCGTGCCCTTAAAATCGGCCATGTTAGCAGGGATGCCCTTTTCTGATCCAGTAAATAAAAAGTCTACCTGAGCCACATATCTGGTCAGTTACATATCCTTTTCGTCCCCCGTTCACATCGCCATACTAATTAACAATGTATAATACCCAGGGCTCGAAACGAAAGGCGCGCGAAAGCGCTCGCGCACCTACCACGCACCTAAAGTGAAACCCAGGTACATATTTTTTAGACGCACCCGAATTTTATAAACAACGCTCCTCGTACCGAAGGCTAACTCACGGTTCTCCGGTAACAATATAATTCCAGCGAGAAACGAATGGCTTTTAATTCCCGCCATTCTTTCTAAATCTCGTGATTTCATAGCAGACTTGATTATCAAGTCTATTTCGTTAATGAAGATTTCACTACCGTAATGGAGACCCAAGTCTTCGAAAACAGGCACGTACAATATGTCATAGGAAGAATAATAACAAAGAGTTTATTGTTTGATAAATATGGGCTATCCCAACGTGTGACATCAGGTCGGTTTAAAAATGATAAAAAATGATGTGTCGTCCGCCAAACAGCACTGATAGTTTACTTTCATTTTGAAAGAGGTCACGGTCTTTTATTTCACAGTTCCATACGTCATGATGAGTAAAACAAATCAAATGATTGTTGCTACGGGACAGTAAATTTTACTGGTTTATTGAAATGTAAGACGTATTAATCTATGTTTGGTAGGACCTTAAAAGCCAGTTTCATTTTATTTAAATGCCCAATATTTTCTGTTAATTTTTTGAGAGTGTGAAGCACTAAAGGACAATTTTAATCCGTAATTTAGTTTTTATGTCTGTTCATGTATTTATTAAATTCATAACAATCCTACATATATAAAACAACATATAAATATAAAAATGCATAATGATGCAGGCTGTTATTGTTTATTTTGATGACTTTAAGAAAATTAAAAATTAATATTTTTGAAATGGATAAACAATTTGTTTCATTTATAATCCACATTTAGTTATACCCCAAGGTGTCGGCCTACCCAAAAACTACTAATTGATTCTTCCAAAAGAGTACTTTTTTGGCCTTGATGCCCCCATCATTGGCCTTGGTGCCCCTAAATTTGGCCAAAACCCGAGGCCAAAATGGCGGGGCCCTAAAAAGATTAGAATTCGAGGCCTGCGTGAATATTGGGTTTTTCATGTGCATCTCGTGCAATTTTTTTTTTTTGCACACGGGCCGATATTTTTTGCGTTTGGGAGCATTGTGTGAAACAATAGTTCATAGTATTGCATAATATTATACATACAAAACCACCTAGTAATAAAATATTTGGGAAAAAAAAGTGATGCGTTTTTCGTGGCGCTCAGTATATAACTAGAAGCTTATAACCTAACTCCAACCATCTCCCTATAGTTTGAAACGCCCGTCTTAGCCCGTACTCGTCCTAAGCGGCGTAATTAGTTACGCCTGTAGGACTTGCACGTTACCCAAAAAGACAAAACCCCGCTCCGGCGAACTTACTTGTCCCGAGCGGAACGATTGATCATTCCTGCGGGACTTGCAGTTGCAAGCCACCAGAGACAATTAAAGTCTCACCTTTGGGATGTTCACCTCGAACGGAGTGAATAATCACTCCTGCGAGATTCGCATCCCCCGACCGTTCCACTAAGACTGACCTTGACTGTCCTTTTATACTCTATCTATATGCTATACAACTGGGAAATGCACGTGCATAACCTATGCACTACGAGTGAGTTACAATTTAGATCCCGCTCTCCCATTAATTGATTTTATCACATATCGACCAATAGAAAGTTCCAAACCACAAGTCGACGGTATATTCACAAAATGGCGGCTATTTACGCAATTTCCACATGTAAACAAACCCCTTTACGAGTTCGACATAATATAAAGCAATATGAATAAGATAACTATACTAGGAACAAATAATAAACAGTAAGTTCTAGCTATTGTAATGATCTAAAAATACGAAACCCCCACATATATAACTGGACTCGGTGCATTCTATACAGAATTATTTTTACAGCGTGATTATTATTTGTTCTTTTCTTTTTTAATATCGTCTTGACTTGAATAATTCTTTCGTGGAACCGCAGGTCACTGCTTTAACCCATTCTATTATTTACTCTTATGCTCTATTTAGTGGCATTTTACAACCAAACAGATGTTATCTATTAATTGTTTGCAGTAAAATTAACACAAAACATAAATCGGCTTCATACAGCAATGCATCTTTGTTTATGCTTTTGCGTACAGCGGTCAACTGGACCGTGTGCGAGTTTGGCATATATATCGTCTGCTACAACGCAGTATATCGTCTATAAAACCAAAAAAAAATAATTTAGACATGATTTAAAATCTGTAATTTATTACGAATGCTACACGCATCTTACAACAAGAGTGGCATTCAAGAATACGTTTTCTATTAAAAGAAAAAGACTAAAAAACCCATTTTCCTTAGCATTTACCATGTTAAAGGGACAATAACACTCTTAATTGTCTCGTACAAGCGGGGAATCGAAAACACACCACTTGACTCCGTGACACGTCATAGGTCTAATAAATGTATTAAAGTAACAAGTCTAGCTGCAGTATTCTGTACTTTTTGTAATTTATCTATAAGCTTTAAAGGTAAACCAACTAAATGTGAATTAAAGTTATCTAACCGAGAAGTGACCGGAGAATTAACAAGTGAATTAGTGGCCTCTACAGTTACAAATTTACGTATTTTACCTATATTTCTGATATTAAAATCGCACAATTTACAAATATTATTTACTGCTCCCATAAGCATAAAACTTTCAAAGATTGCGCCAATATTACGAGCAGAATAAGGTGGAAATATATCACAATTACCAATTACAACGGGGGGGGGGGGGGGTATCAATTGCAAATTTACTTAAAGTAGCTAAGTCTCTAACTCAATATCACCCGAAATCTTCAACATTGAAAACACGATTTATTTGTCAAATTAAATCAACATTCATGTTGTGATCTTACCGGAAAAAGATGGGCTTTTGATATCCAATATTTAAGACAAAATAAACATTTTACCATTGGTACACAAATCGTGCACCAGATCAAACGGCGAATGTAGACTGGAATAACCAGACGCTAGAAATTTGCACTCGCTTGAGACTGCTGGCTTATTTCGCCGAACATAACTGATTTGAAATTGGAGTAAAAACGGAAACCATTGAATGTAAATCAGTTTATATACATTCATATTACAGTATTATATGCGTTGCGACCCACGTTTGTCAATTTCTAGGTCCCAAATGTTAGCGATTTAGCTCCTTTTAATTGATGCCTTGAATCTAATAACAGATATTCGGTTTTATCATCATTCAATTTTAGTAAGTTCTTTGACATCCATTTTCTAATTTCACTAATACAGTCCACAGGGTGCAATTTTGATAAATTGAAAAATAGGTGTAAATGAAATATATAAGTGAGTATCATCGGCATACAAATGAAAGCTGAGACCATATTTTCGGACAATATCACCTAATGGTGACGTATAAAGAGTAAATAAAATCGGACCAAGAACACAACTTTGGGGAATCCCAGATGACAAAGCAGATTCAGACCACGATTTACAATTAAACATGCATTATGCAAGAGCAAAATCTGCTTATTACAAGTCTTTCTTTAAGGCTGAAATGTTATCTAAATTATCAATTAGACATTAATTAACTTATCCAGACCATAATAAACTCTCGATGTCAAGGCTAGCCTTCGATGTTGGCTGGATTAGATTCCTATATGCCGCTAACGGCCATTGATAATTAAATAAAAAAAGTGGATAATCGAGACTATGCTGTTTATATTAATGATTTTAGTAATGATGACCGAAACTATGCAAACATTTCAACCGCTTCTTTCTCGGCTCATAGTGGTGGATCAATTTGACTGAAATTTTCAGCAAATTACCTTTACGCTATCTAGTTTTTAACTATTATAGCGAGAACTGCCATCTCTTTATCTTATCTCCCATAATGTATCTTTAAGTAATGCCTCGTTTAATATCTTTCTCTTATTAAAGGGACATTATTGGAGATTTGATAAAGAGTTGTTGACAGTTCTCGCTATAATCACAGGAATCTGACCTTCTATCCGTATATCTATATATATGCATACACCATGTCGTACCAGACAATATATAATAAAAAAAATAACAGGAATGCAATGCCTTTTAAAGACTCGATTTTACCTGCTCTCGCTTCGGCTCTTTTTTTTTCAACAATTCGTAATGTCAGGCAACAAACCTCTGTCCATTATTAATAAGGGAAACTTGGAAATTTTACTTTTTTTATAAAAAAGAATACAAGAATGTTATTTTTTATTTGAGGTGTAATCACGTACAACTGTCGAAAAACATTCATATATATTTTAAAGAATATGGAAGGACAAACTACAATTTAGATATTGAAGGGCAAATAAAAAAAATATCAAGATTGTTTCAGCTACTGGTTATAAATAAATAACATTTTAGGCCTATCTTCTATTAGTGCGAGGGTTAGGGTTAGGGTTGTCGACCATATTTATATATAATAAAATCTATATTTTTATCAAACTCTGTGTATTTAACCAAATCTATTTATTTGTCACTAATAATTTAATTAATTTTATATAGTCGGCGGTAACAAGGAATCATTAAGCATTTGGTCGGCGGTAACAAGTATTTGGTCGGCGGTAATTATATTACGGTCGGCGGTAAAAAGTATTTGGTCGGCGGTAATTTCACGACGGTCGGCGGTAAAAGTATTGGTCGGCAGTAAAAAGTACCACCCCCTTTTTAGTAGTTTTTGGTTGTTTATAGTATATTTGTTTGTAAAAAGAGAAACCAATCAACTCAAATAATGTTTATTGAAAAATTTTATAGGCCTATTTAAAGGAGCTAAATCACTAATAACGCATAATAATGTAATCTGATTGTATATAAACTGACTTACATTCAATTATTTCCGTTTTGACTCAAATTTATAATCAGTTATGTCCAGCGAAATAACTAAGGCATGTGTCTCAACCCTATAGCAATTTCTAGCGTCTGGTTATTCAAGTCTATTCAGCAGGCTCTCCAGCGTTCTTTCTGGTCACTTGTTGCAAATGACGCTAAAACGCACTATGGTACACGATTCGTGTATCAATGGTAAAATATTTATTTTGTCTTAAATATTGGATATCAGAAGCCTGCCTTTTCCTGGCAAGATCACAACATCTATGTTGATTTGAATTGACAAATAATTCGCATTTTCAACGTGTAAGACTTTAGATGATATTGAGTTAGAGACTAAGCTACTTTAAAATAGAATTTTAATATCTTTAATTATTTTATTTTTTAAAAATGAAAGCCTATACATTAATTAATAGAACAAAAATCATAAAAGCACAGGGAGAGTCAACGTTGGAGTCAAAGGTATTTGATCTTGGAAAATAACCAATGGCTCAAATCTGTTTATTGGAAAACGTTATATGCCTATTTGAAATTCAATTTTAATATTCTTAAATTATTATTTTATATTTTAATGAAAACTTACTTTATTATTCAGAGATCCCCTGGTTAGTGAGCATGCGCCCTAATCAATGAGTCACGCGGCTTCCCACACACCATGAGGTCCGACGTTCGATCCAGCCCCACCCCACCCCCACGACGTCAGAGCAGGACAAGGATAATCAAGTCCACATGTGCATGTAAAACACTGGCAGGTGGAATTTGACGTAGAGTAGTCAGTAGGTGCGTGATACATGACCGTCTTCATTAGCCTGGTCAGTTCAGAAAAGTAAAACATTAAACCGTATTTTATTTCATTATGAGAAATCTTTGTGAATCTGCCATTTGTGGCATTTGTAAATAATTTATTCCATGTATGTAGTCACTGTGTTCTCGAATGTCTTTACCGTCCGTAAGGTCTTTACCGTAATGTGGATTACGGTAAAGACTAATTAGGATTTATGTAAAATGGATTTATTCATTAACATTTTGGCTTCTTCTTGCATTCACAATTAAGATACAAAATCTACATTGGACAGAGCTTCAATTAAGACGAAGGAAACTAAAATCATTTCAATTTTTTTTTAGCATTTCGTCTTTACCGTAATTTCATCTTTCTGTGGAAAATGCCCATAAACGCTAACAAAGTTTTGGGGTTTGCAGATTTGTTGGGTTTTTTGTTTTGTTTTTTTTTTTTGGGGGGGGGGGGGTATTTGGGCGGCATCTAAATTCTCAGAATTCTGATGATCGGGGTCTGAGTCTAGATAAACATGATTAAAATATGTTATTTTGGGATTCAAGTTGGTTGGATTGTCGAAAGCTAGGGCCTATTTAATTTAATAAGATGCATTCCTTACTCTTATTCTTAGTAATAGTAGCCTAGACTAGGCCTATTTCAAGTATTTCATTTGTTCTCTCACTGTATCCATCCCTGAAATCTGTTTTTGGTTTGTTTGGGGGTTTTTTTTTTAGCCTATTTTACTAAATTTTAGTATTTAAAAATTTGAATAGGCCTATCGAAAAACGAGTCTAGATCTAGCTCGTTTTTTTGTTATTGGCCAATATAGAAAAACGAGCTAGCATGAAATTTTGTGTGAGGTCATGGTTAGTCCACCATCCCCTGCCCTGGAACTGGCCGAGGTGCGAAGCGCCGGCGTGGTACTGACAGTGACATAGTCATCATTAGTGTGGAACCATTTCTAGTAGGAGGCCTAGATTTTTTTGTTTTGTTTTAACTTAATTATTTAAATGGTACAAAATAAATGCACATTTCTAAAATCAAAGGTATTTTCTTTGTGACAATATTTAATAATAT